GTGGAAAATGTTTTCCCACCTATTAGGTGAAAAAACATTTTCCACCATTTGTGTATCAAATTGTTGTACCTAGAAAAAGGGAGGAAAACATTTTCCGTGGAAAATTTCGCATATCAAACGATCAAAAAAGTGAAAGTAAGAAAATATTTTCTTACTTCCCTGGAAAACTCCGCCAATCAAACGGATCCAAAGGTAAAGAAAAGAAGAAAGAAGCCATTAATTTCTTTTCTCAAATTTCAATGGCAGCATGGAATTCACTAACCCTAACTCCTTCCGCCACATTTTATTTAAGTTAAATTATTCAACTTTCACTTGAAATAAAATGTTATTATATTGATTTTATTTTTTATTTTTTATCACATGCGCAACTATTTTTTTAATTAAATTATATTTTGATATTGAAAATATCAATGTCAAGAAATAGTTTGTTTAAGAAGCAAAAAATTGATACGAGAAAATAGAGTGCCATGTAGATATGTAGTGCACATGAGCAGAACATGAACAATCAATATCCCTATTTTATCACTCTACCTGTACTGGTCGCGATTTTTAATATTAGTGGTTGAGAATTGAGATAAAAGATTGATATATTTCGATATAAGCCACATGTGTTTTTGTTCAATTTACTATAACTCATCGCTTTCCGACTAAAAAATTATGTGTTGAGGATCACACCTTTTCGATTATGGTGGAATTTCCCTTTCATTATCCTTGCGCGGAAGGAAGATGAATTTCCCGTTCTTCTTTCAAGTGATAGCTCGAGAATAACTAATTAAGAAGGGGGTGAATTGAATTTTAAAAACCTTTTCAAAAATTAACTTTAAATCTAACAAGTTTCTTATAAGTAGACCAATCAAATAATAAATGTAATCAAAATATTGATAAGTAAAAGAGAAAAGAGGATACAGACGATATAATTATGGAGGTTTGATCCAAACCGATGTCTTATGTTCTTCATTACCAAACTCTTTGTTATAAGCAATGTCTTTTCATTATATTAATTAACTTATGGTGTAACAAAGTCCTTTCAACACTTCTGATAACTTACAAACTAAGAACACCGAACTTTATACAATATTGAGCTTCAAGGGACTTCAATATGATCGAAAGATTGAAAGAAATGTTTTTACAATGAAATTTCTCTCTCAACAAATGATAGCAATAAATTAAGTACAAAGAGATACTAATAGTTTAATGAATAACGATGAATAATATCTCGATTGTCATATGAGAAACTCTGATAAATACGATGATTTAATTAATCAAAATTTACAATATAAAGAAATAGAACAAATAAATGCAAGATTTGCCCAAATATTTCGCCATTTAATGCATTTGAATGACCTACCATTAATTGCAAAATAGAAGCTATTTATTGAGGTCAATTCTCAAAACTTTCTGTAAGTTCGGATGATAGATGGATCGATCGATAAAAATCGGGATAACCCAAAATATACACGTTGAACGAAAAGGTCAAAAGTCGGAATGATTTAGTTTTTAACCGTAGCATTTTCGGTCGATCGGATGACACATTTGATCGATTAGGTTTGGTTGATTGGTTGGGCCGTCCTGTTGACTGGTTCGCTGATCGATTTTTTCGATTTGGGCCCATTTGGTCCGATTTGAATGTTTTGAAAAACATGAACTTTTGAAAAGTATTCTCAACTAAATTTTCAAGGTAAATAACGTTTAAAAAATATGATCTAAGTTCAATATCATTTTGAAAATCAATTTTACCTAGAAATCGCAGTTTTCTCCATACCTCTGAAAAAACATGAAAAGAAAATGGTTTGAGTAGTACGACCCTTCCATCACTTCTCTCTTGACTTTAACGATGACGAAGACGATCAATATTTCTTACCTCACATTTAATGTTTTCGATTATCTTATAGTCAAAATGAATCTTGATTAAGAATTTAATCTAAACCGTATATTTTAGTAAGTCCCAAATTTATGAGTAATGTATTACGTAATTGCGATTTGACACAAGAAGATGGTGCTTTGTCGTAACATCACGACTCAACTACAAATTTATTTAAAAGAAGTATCATTTCGACAATGCATTCAATTTGGGTTTTTGTGATTGATCTACTCAGTAGAAGAAAACTAATGGCAAGTCATATAATTAATGGTTGTTTGCAAAGCATTCAAGCCGTTGTAGCCTCACCACTCAATCACATAGGGTTGAATGTTAAATTTTTTGATCAAGTATCATTGATTTAATAGTTAAAAGTTTAAGTAATTATTACCGTTAAAAAAAATAACATTAATGAACATAAAAAATTATAATTC